CTTCCTGCTGAGGAAAGAGTGGTCTGTTGGGAGACTGCTGTTGGGTGAGAGGCAAGGGCCAAAGACATGAGGGCAATTCTGGGGGTTATGTAACTGCCCCCTCTGTCCTTTGACTTCTCTCTTTATGACTTCTGGAAGTTGAACTTAGTCATGATTGGTGCTTATAGATTTAAGGACCAGGGCAAGACTTCACAAAGTATATTTTATTGAATGATAGTCCTGAGGGGAGCTCAGTATACATGGAAATGCTGCACACTCGGCATTTGTGTCACAGAGCACATGTGTAAATGGCTCTATGGAATTCTGCTTTCACTCATTCAATAAGTACTTATTTATGCCCGCTCTGTACTATGTCCTATTCTGAGTGTTGGGGGTACAGACAGTAAGAAAATAGCTGTTTATCTTGGTTTAATTTAGCAATTCCCAAACTTATTTGACTGTTAAAACCTTTTGTTGTGTAACAGGTATTCATGTCTCAAGAAACTACCATTCAATGAGACACTCTTTGAGAATGGTAGATGTATTTGTGCAGGGATGTACAAGGCACCTGACTCCTAGGCAGGGAGAAATGAGGGACATTTTGAAGCACAGAAAATGTTGACCATAGAGAGGTAAATCTGGTTAACATCATAATCATTGCAGGCTTCTTTATGTGGAAAATTTTTTCCCATGTATCAACCTGACAGAATAATTACAAGTATCACAGAGATGGTGACTTCAGAAGCTGGTTTTATATCAGATATTTTCTTTTTGAGTGCTCCAATGATTTTAGTGCATGCAACAGCAAAACAACTGTTTGGAAAGGGGACTGCTTAGACTGATTAGTTATTTGTCCCCAAGTGGAAAGGAATTTGCCCCTGAAACACAACCAAATCAAATGGTTGCTTGTTGAATGAATTCTTCTTACAGTAGAATTCAGTTAAACCTATAAGCCCTGGTCAAGGTGAGTCTGATATCTTGTTTTGTGCTGGAGACAGCAGGCTGGCCAGGGCTTCTTTCTCTGTGGAATAAGAGACCAATGAGATTATCTCTAAACTTCCTTCCATCTCTGACAGTCCAGCACAGGGCTTCTTGGACCAGCAAAGCCTTAATGTTGGGAAGTAGACAGCAAAGCCTTAATGTTGGGAAGTAGAGGCCCAAGCCACAACCTGGCCTTTCCCTACCTGGTCCCATCTTTAGCCATCTGATGATTCTGTGTATTTCTCCAAACAAACGCATATAGTTCTCTCTCTCTTCCCTTGTGGCCCTCGTCTATACTGTTTTCTTGCCTGGGGACACTCTCCTCCTTCCCTTTAGTCTGCTACCTCCTATGCATTGTTCAGGCCTCATATCAGATGTTTTCCTTCTATGATCGTGATACTGTGATTTACAAGAAGAAATATATAGCTGGTCGTTATTCTATTTCTGGCATAGAGCTCCTAAAACCCTTGGAATTTCCTAAGTGATGAGCATCATAAAGGTGTCCTTTTTTGTGTTAGTGAGGTGATTTAGGGGGAAGTCACCTAAGGATGGGGGCTGCTAACAGGGGAAGAAACCTTGTGATCGGAGGGTTAGAGCTTTCAGTCCCACCTCCCTCATCTCTGGGGAGGGGAGACGGGCTGGAGATAGAGTTCAATCACCAAAGGCCAGTGATTTAATCAGTTGTGCCCCTGTGATGAAGCCTTTATAAAAGCCCAAGAGGAAGGGGTTCAGAGGGCTTCCCTGTTGGTGAACATGCGGAGATTCCAGGAGAGTGCCCCTCTGAGAGGACATGGAAACTCCATGCCTTTGCCCCATACCACGCTACATGCGTCTCTTCATCAGGCTGTTCCTGAGTTATATCTTTTTATAATAAACCAGTAATCTAGTAAGGAATCTCTGAGATCTGTGAACCGCTCTAGCAAATTAATGGAATCCAAGGAGAGGGTCACTGGAAACTCCTATCTACAGCTGGTTGGTCAAAAGCACGGGTGACAACCTGGACTTGTGACTGGCATCTGAAATGTGGGGCCAGCCCTAAAAGACTAAGCCCTTAACCTGTGGGATCTGACATTAACTCTGGGTGCATCATGTCAAGAATTGAGTTGAATTGTAGGACACTCAACTGGTGTTGGAGAATTGCTTGGATATGTGGAACGCCCTCCCCTCCACCCCAGCACACATACAGAAATTGGTTGCAGAACCCTTTTAGACACCTTTCCTGCTCACCACGCTACCCCAGCAAGGTGATGGTTAGGTGCCCCTGTCAAGTGCTGCTGTAACATCCTCATTGCAAACCCTGACATCTTTGTTTACTCATCAGCCTCCCGTGCTAGACTGTGAACTCCTTGAAGACAGGAACTTGGTCTGTTCTGTTCTCTGTGACATCCCAGGCCCAGCACAGCACCTGACTCATACCTACTGCTTAACCAGCTCTTGTTGAGTGAAGGAGTGGATGCTGGGCTGGCTTGTGGCAAGTGCTGATATGAAGAGAACAGAGACCAGGCAAGGCTGACAAAAGCATAATCAGTGGCACTTGTCCTGTGTTAGGACATCCATAAGGCCATAATGTCCCATTGCCCCTCAATGTGCTGCTAGCCTCTATTCTAATGCTGGGATAGTGAGAACTGAGCTTTGGAGGGGCGCTGGGCTTGTGGGGGAGCAGCAGTTCTGGGACCTGTATTTTTGAGACTTGAAGGGTGAGAACCTGTTTTGAGAGAATCCTGCCTGGGAGGAGAACTGAGCCCAGCCTTGGTCCTTGTCCTCAGCATGTGTTGTTGGGCTCTTAGCCCCTGGTTCAGCATTATTGCTTGCGCCTGGCACCCCATTCTTTTTTCAGTGGGACGTTATGGATGAATTTATGCATTTAAAATTATTTAATTTTACTATCTTTATATTTAGAATACTTTAACTAATATTCACGTTATATTTCTTTAACATCCTAGTTTTTATTGTACTTTTTAGCCTATTATTGAATACTTTTCTAACCTATTCGATCTTAGTTATTGGATGCCAGTTTATATTCCCCTGTTGGATACACTCTTAAATTAAGTGTACATATTTCTTAGCACTTAAAAATGTATTAAAATTCTCCAGCATTTTCCTTTTACTCTTTACATTTTTATAACATTTTCTGTTGGGTTTATCCTGTTAGTTCATTTTCTAGCATTTGTTGCTAAGTTAGAGATGGAAAATAGTGATGTCAGGGGGATTGAGGGGATAGATGCCACAACAGTGACTGGCTTAATAAGGACCTGGTGGCCCTTCTCCCTGTGCTGACAGTTCTCTACAGACTCCCCTTTGCTAACCCCTTCCCTGTCCATACTCAAAGGAGGTCCGTCTTGCTGTTGTTAGAGGAGAACCTGATATTCACCATGGTGAAGAAAAAGTGTGTCAAATTAAATCCCACTTTTACCCAGTTAGATAGTTTGGGAAATTCACAGGACAAATTGTATGGGTTGGAAGTTATTAAGACTGGCCTCAAATACTGCTCAAGGGCATTGCCGTCATCTTGTTCCAGAACAAGCCAGGGCTTCTACAAACCACAAACCATAATCTCTGAATATCTCACAGCATTTATAGAGAAGGGACATTTTGTGAGGGGTGGAAGGTGAGGGTCTGCACCTCGGCCCCTGAAGACTGACCCCAGAGAATACCCAGGTGGCCTTGAAAAGTCCTGTTAAGAATTATTGGATGAAAGTATAATAGAGGGACAATAGTGAAAGCTGGGGAATTACGTTTTGTTGACCTACTTAAAGGATCCACCTAAGTACATATATTGAGTCACCTTCTTTATGGTCAGGAATTCAAGAGTTGTCAAGGCTCCTACAACCACTAGTTCTTGTCACATGTGCAATATGGCCACTGACTCAGAGGGAAGCAGGGGGAAGGAGTTAGGACAATCATGAAAGGCTGAGAAAATGTTCTGGAAAGATTCATCTCTTTCTTCTCCTTGTTATACAAGATGTGGTTTCCCCAAAGAAACAATATGCTCAATAAAAGTTAGGGTCCCAAACCACAGAAGCCTACTTTAACCCACATTGCTGCTGACTATATTCAGGTTAATTTAGTTCACATCAACAAGGCAGAGTTTCCTTTTCCTGCCAGAAAGGAGAAGTAAGTTGGCTTTGAGGGTGACCCAAATTGTGCAATTTAGAATTTTCACGGAGCATGGCAAAGTGTGTGTGTGTGTGGGTGGAGTGGAAAGATGAATAAAATGTGGCCCTTGCCCTCAAAGAGCTCATCCAGTAGTTGGAAAGACCAGACATGTCCTCAAGTAATGTTTGCAACAATAGTGGTGGAGGTGTTGTCCAACCACAAAGTAACAGAAGTATTAGTTCTGAGTGGGAAAATCTAAAATGTTGTGGCAGCTGCCCCTTGAAAAATGTTAGGGCGTTAAGACAGCAGTGGGCATTTGAGGCAGTGAAAATGGTTGGGGTGAAGACTCAGCATGGTCAACTGCAGGGCACAGCTATGGAATAGCCAAGGAGGTGCTGCAGAGGACGGGAGGCAGGATGGAAATGCATGGGGGGCAGGTAGGCCTTTTGGAGTAGTCCTGATGGTCTAATCACTTACTTAGAAGGTAGCTGTTTATCTTTTCATGTTGAATTACAGGCGGGTGAGTTTCAAAAGCCTAACAAAGGTGGTCTTGGCTCAGACTGAAGAGCTGTCTCATGTACAATATAGTTCATTACCATGACAAATAAGAAAGTGATTAATTGCAAAAATATTTCTTATATTTAACTTTCTAGGGATGGATTTGTTAAAGAGCAGCATAAGAGATCTTTTAATAGCTTTATGTCCTATTTCATAACCAGCCCATTTTTGTAACTCTGTATTTTATTAGGGATAATGCATGCAAAGCCTTCATGGAAGATACCATATTTGCAGTCTCTAACACGGGATCAGGAGGAGGAATAAAGGAATAAATAAATAATCTCTCACAAGGGTCAGATTCAGTTATATCTTGCCCAAAACTATGGAGATTAATATTAGTGCCTGCCTATCTGTGTGTTTCTGGACAGAATCATACATAGACTTCTTTCTTTTGGGTGTCTGTGGAGTGAGGACCCTGTGGTAGGCAGTGATAAATCAAGGATGTGATCTCTGACTTAATGGTGTTCACATGATTTTATATTATCTGGACAAAAGTCTGAATGGAATTCAGTCCTTTATTGAGATATTTGGTTGAGCCAAGCATCTTTCCACATCTCTATCTTCAGTTTAATTTTTCCAGTGAGGAACTGAAACATACAAAACTCATGGGTAGAATCTATTGAATTCCTGAAATTCCAGTTCATTTGTAAGTCACTAACAGATAACAATATACATACATATTAAATATATTATAAAATATATGCTGAGATATTTTAAGAAAATGCTTTTGAAAGATTACAAAGTAATTATTATTATCTACTGTTTTTCATTTTGTTTGTTCAACATTATACTCTTGAAGATTGACACCACTATAATCTGATTTTGAGATACACACTAGTGGCATTTTACTGGGGAAATGTCTCATCTTACTCTTAAAAATACTGTCTCTGGTCCCAATGGGTGACTTTTTCAAAGAAGTATTATTTTGTCTTTTACCCTACGTTTTGCTTTAGTAAAGAGAAAACCAACAATATTGAATGTTTGATCAATTTCTGCCCCCTCGCTCTCTTCTATGAAGAGACAGATTTTCAATTGTAAATTTCCACCTCTGTGGGCAAATGACAAACATGTAACCATGTTACCAAACAATAGAAAAAAAATACGAAACCATTCATAAAACACAATATCTGGCTAATAATAAGGTATGGTATGATAATTATGGTACATCACTAAAATAACATATTACACAATTGTTAAATGATAATTAAGAATACTGCATAGAAACATGAAAACATACTAGGATATAATTAAAAGAGAAAAGAAAAACACATGATTATAATATATAAGGTAGAGGAAGCCTGGAAGATAATGTGCTAAAATGGAAATACAGTAGATCTGTTAGAACAATGGTACTGTGGATTTTCAAAAATATTTTCTTTAGTGTCATAATAGAATAGTAACAGTGAATTCACCAAATAAATGATGCTGTAGGTATAGAGGGGAGATATTAACAAACAAAGAGAAATTTGATGTTACAAAGGGAAAAACATTTAAAAAAAATCTTTCTTCTCTACACTTGCCAGCTCAGTAGATACTAAGATCCATTGTATTGAGAGCATTTTCAAAGGAGTTGGTTAGTAGAGTTTGAAAGAGAGCCTGAACATAACTATATCTGGATTTTGTTTACCATGACAATGGCAATAGAAATTAAGTGTTGAAACAGTTATCTAAATATGCTCTAGCTTGGGTACCTTGGCGGAATTCACACTTTAGAATCAAGAGACAGTTTAGAAAAAAACAAACAAACAAACAAACAAACCATGTGCATAATAAACAGGAATATCGAGCAAGAGAAATTCAATAGAGGAAATTTCAAAAATCAAATGCCTATTTAAAATCAAGTTGAATTGACTATTTGGATTAACAGCAAATAAAAGCAACTAATGGCTACTTAAATTTATGTCTTTCTGAAAGCTCTTGAAGGATAACTCTTGAAGGATAGACAGGAGCAAACCTCATATCTATTATGTTAATATTAACATTTTGCTAAAACTGTTGATTGGAATGAGCTGCTCTGTTCGCCTCTAATAGGCTCAGACACTTTCCTTGTTTTCCTTCTCTCCCTCCTCTGTTCAAAAGGCTATTTTATCCTGAATGGTACTTGATTTGGGGCACTAAACTAGCTTGCTCCGTATTAGGAGTGGGTTGCTTAATGTAAGATGTTAAGAAAATTTCATATACACAATCACTCATTTTATTCTTTCTAGTCAAACAAAGTTAAGCCTCCCGGCTCAACATTTGCAAATCATTATTTTAGATACTTCCCTCAAGTGCATGTTTAAATACCTTAAACATCTTAAGTAGATGGATGGAAGAAGAAACTTGAAGGGGTTGCTTCTGAAATATCTTGAAAATGTGATAAAATACCTTGTGTCTCTAAACTAGTAGTTGACTGGATTTGGAAATTGGAGTGTGTGTGTGTGTGTGTGTGTGTGTGTGTGTGTGTGTGTTGAGGCTATGAAGGAGTTTGAGCTGGTTCCAAGAAATCAGAAAGTAACTTTTCCAAACCCCAAACTATATAAGCATCTCTTTTCCGACCCAGTGTAAGATTTGCTGAGTCTCTGATATCTTGCTGTCTCCTACCTCTAAAGCTGTCCACAGTGGCAAACAAATTAGAGGAATTTTTTTATTCCTAAGAGTTATTCAATAATTTTCACCTTCATAGAAATATGATTTCCTGCTTTCGAAATACATTAGAATTATTATGAGGTATTATGATTTTTAGAAAACTGTTTTTCCTCCACGAGAAATCCAAAGTAAATTACATTTAGTTTAAGGGTATGTATTAGATTATTTGGGGCTATACCAATATTGAAAAATTTCTTCTCAAAAATATTTTACTTTTAACATTTTCATTTTATTTCCAGAAATATATTTTGCTGAATAAATAATATTTGATACTGAAATAAATCTGCTTTCATACATCTGCAAAATTCTTTTTAGTAGTAGCAAGCATTCAATCCATGTCACATAATTGGTATCATGAATTACATAACTTTAGCCTGCATTTTGCTGTAGCTCATTTCCTGGCAATATATAAAGTGCCTTTGACATAATACTATAGAATATTCATACTGGGAACAAATGATAGAGGTTATCTAGGGTAAGTCAGTCCTACTTCTCCCTTTTCAAGGAACTGAGGTGTAAGAGGATAAAATTTGCCCAGGATCACAAGTCTCATTTTCTGACATTTAGGCCCTATTAAAAAACAATTACATACTTTTGATGTTGAACTTGATTTGAAAATTGTGATTTTTGAGGGCATGATTCTTAAGACAGAATAATTGATGTACTTAAAGAATTACAGAGTTGAACCTGAAATACACAAAAGAAGTATACCCCCAATTTTTGTCCTCAATTCCCCTTTTGGGAAGAAAATGACTGAAACTATCTGATCATTAAAAATAAATCATCATTCTTTGAAGAATGCAAAATTATTCTGATCTTCAAGATAAAATATACCACTATTTCTACATATCATTCAATATTTCTCTTCAACGGGGATCAAATAGTATTCTGGATGACTGACCTCTTGTCTATTACAGTTGAGCAAATGAAATAGGAAATACATTTTAGGATCCCATTGTGATGTTTTTCCTCAGCAGCAAAAAATTAAGTAAGAAATAAAACAGATCTTTGTCATGTAATGTTAACTGATCAGGTGAACGTAACAAAAACTGGGCTTTAGTTAAGTCTAGTAGATTTTATTGACATTTACAGTCTTGGGAGTGTGGAACAAATGTACAAATAATGACATTGCTAGAAATTTAACCACTGCATTTCATATAAATTCTGCATAAAGTTCAATGTATTGACTTCATAGTCTTCAGATTTTAAAAGGCATATAGAAATAGTAAATACCAGTATGTGTCTCCCAAAAATGTTAAAGACACTTGTATGCACATGTAAAATCCATTTTGACTTGATGAAAACAAATTCTAACCTATGAAAATATTACATCAAGTCATTTTGCACCTGATGAGGAAATTATACATGAATGATAGTAAATGTTAGAAAACACTTCAGATAAAGACCCAGTAAATCACTGTAAGAGTTTAAGAAGTCACATAGCCATCTAAAAATGTTAGTTTTTCACTTAGCTGGTCCCATTATTTTACTTTATTTGAAATTCCTGATCTTGTCAAAGGATAATATCATAAAACTCAATGACATAATTCAACTGTCTTTAACTCCCCTTTCTCCAAAAACCATCCCACCCAAGAAGGGATGTAGCTATTCTATCTTGATTTTTTTTCTTTCAGCAAATACTAAGTTTGAAAAGCTTTCAATAGATAAAAATCATTTCATTTAATGAAGCATTAAATTGTTTTTTTTTCTCTCAATTTTTTCAGACCTAAAGCAGCTGTTCCCTATGAGCTGCCCATGTGTCATTTCATGCTTAGTATCTGCAACCCACTTAAGAGTTATCTTGCTTTCAGCAGGTCCTGAGTAGCACTTTCTGGGTTATTTACAGACCACCCAACACGGTTTAAATTATTAACTAATTTAATAATTATTACTGCCTACCCACTGCCTCTTCGAGGGTCCTTAGTCCTCATCACCCTTCTCTAAAATGTGTCCCCAACATGCCTATTTACATGGCTCTCAGGCACTGGAGGTTTGCACACCCATCACATACCAGGTCACTTTCTAACAGTGTGAAGGCTGTTGGAGAAGTTTCCTTCCATGTTTCTGTCATGTAGTCATGTTTCTGTCAACACAGCGACCCTTGTATGCAAAGCTTAGACTATCGTCTCGTGGTCCCACCTGCCTTGGCTCTGATTGATGTAACAACAGTATCTGTCATAGGGACTGTTCTGCTTGTAGGAGCAAACGATGATACTGTCCTGGGGCACAAAGAAGATGCTGTCCTCAGGCTCGGGGCACTCGGACCTGTCCCAGGCCGAGCACTTGGCATCCAAGGCACTGTAGACGAGGGAGCTGCCCGAGGGACAGTAGCCGTCCAGGTATCTGGATGTCTCCTCCTGATGCCCGCTGGGGACCAGGCTCTGGCATTCTCCTTCTTCGGTGGGGCTGGGAATGGTGATGGAGCTGGCCATAGGCGCCTCAGCCTGCCCTTCGGGGGGAGGCTTCCCCCGGAGGCCCGCCTTCTTAGCCAGCTCATCGGAGCTCCCCTTGCCTGACTCCAGGTCCGAAGGGGTCCTCAGCAGTTCCACCACCTCCTTGTCCTTGGGTTTCCGGAAGCAGGGCAATTTACGGGCCCATAGTAGCTCATTTTCAGGCCACTTGGTGCACCCCTCGGTTTTCCTGGCCAGGGCAATGGCCGCGATGCCTGGCAGGCAGATGGCTGGCCCGATGGCCAGGAGGGGGATGTTTCCCAGGGTCTCTCCTTTCATCCCAGAGACGGTGAACATGAAGCCGAAGACCAGGAAGACACTGACCAGGGCCACCACCAGTCCAGTCCTCGGGTTAATGTCGTCAGGCCGCATCTTTCATTCCGTCCAGGTTGGGGGCTCCTTTCTGGCCAGGGATCAGCTTTCCTCTCTTTCCTCAGAGGTGAAAGAAACCATAGTGGGTTAAAAAAAATTCCAAGTCAATTCCCCACCCACCAACTCTTTGTCTCTCTTACTCTGCCTCTGACTCTTTACTTGTCTGACAATTTTGGTCTCTGTCTTACTCTTTCTCCCGGTTTCCGTTGTTCTCTGTAAGTCTCTTTGCTATTGTAATCGTCTGTCATATAAACATCCACAGGCGAGGGTCACCGAGGTACCTCAGGTTTCCTGCGGTCTCCTGGGAGCAGAGAAAGAAGCCGGTTTGAGTCTCCTTAGAAACCTCCACAGCAGCTGTCCCCTCGACTCTTTTCCTTGTTTCTGGAAGGAATGCCTGGCTTTTCCCACTGACTACATCCAGGAGCTGGAACGCGGGAGCGCGTCTTTCTCAACAGTGCCCGTCGCGGTCCCCAGGCTCTGGGAGCTGAGCGGCAGCGCACCCCGGCGCCGGGATCTGCGCGCGGCTCGCTGGGCGTTGGAGGGAGGAAGGACTTAGTCTGCGAAGGAGGGAAAGTGGCGCGTGAGCCTGTCCCCGTTACATCACTTGCAGAGAGAGCTCATAAACAAAGAAGGACGCGTGGGGGCGCGAGGAGGACAGACCCCAGGGAGAAGCCACCCTGGCGGACGAGGCTGCCTAGGGTCCAGTCGGGTATTTGGAGCAGGTCTCAGCAGGGCAGCTGGACCCGCTTCTGTGCCCGGGGAGGGTCTGGGGTGCAAGCCTGCCACTGACCGGAGACGGGAACTGGGGTCGATTTGCTCGCTGAGCAAACTGGATTTGAGTCTGGGGTCCGAGGGCCAGAGGTGCCAGTTGGGGATGTCGCTCGGCGACCTGGACCCCTCTTTAGTTATAAATCTCTGGAATCCGACCTGACTGATGGCAGCTCCCAGGAGCTTCCCCGACCGCCCATCTGAAATTCGAGGCTGTCGGGGCTCGGCGGGCTGCACAACTCCGGAGGCAGCTGCCCGCGGACTGCTGTCGGTCCCGGCGCTGAGCGACAGCCAGCGGCGCGCAACAGCGCTGGAGTAAAGGAGCAGGCTGCTCTCCCGGAGCGCACGGGATCCGCACCCAGGCTGAGTTAGTGGTGAGGGTTGGGTGCCAGGTTTTGTTCAAGTCTTGGGGGAGTCCCCAGAGTCCAGACCCTGGAGGTGGTGGCCTTGCAACCTGGATCCCACTCCGACACGACTGTGGTGCCATCCAGACCTTCTGGGTCAAGGGAGAACGGCTCTCCGCCCTCGGCCCCCTCCCATTCCCATTCTCACACTTCCCACCCAACACACAACTCACTAGGAGAGGGAGGAGCCTCGACTGGGCAGGACGGCCGACCAGCTTACCCTGCAGTTCCAGCTGTGGGCGATTCTCTCCTCCCGCGCTTAAGCTGGGATGAAGAACCAGTCTCCTTCCCACTGCTCCCGGTAATGGATTCCTCAGGCCCCAGGGGCAAGACTGGCTTTGGCTGTGGTTGTTCAACAAGGGTCTTCATTTAGGGGAAATGGGAAATAGTGAGGAGCAGAATCGGGTATGGGGTACATTCTTTCGTGTTCAAGCACTGCCTTGGTAGAAAGGACTTTGCTATCTAGGCCTTCCCACTTAACTAGCTGTGTGTTCTTGGGAAAGTGACTTAACCTCTCTGAGAATCAGTTGACCCATCTATATAATGAGAATATTACTACCAAATATATGCGGGAATAGCATGAGGAGTAAATAAATGTAACTTTCCTAGTACAATGCTTATTACAGGGTCCTGTTCACAAAATGGTTGAAATATATATTTGCATAGTATGTCATAATCAATGTAAGACAGAGCCAAATCACAAATCTTGCCAAGGTCCAGATTCTCATGAAGGCCAGCGGTACTTCCTGCCCTTCAGATTGGTGAGATTTCCCAGTATCCTTTCAATAATGCCCCCCCTTGCATGGAGTTAACTTGAGTAGTTTCTTTTCTTTTGTTCTCCTCTTTGAAATTCCAAAGAGTCTTGGGCAGGATAGGCATTTCTCTGAAAGTGATGCCAAAAGATAGGCTTAAATTGATTTAATTTTTTATTACCAATTTGGGAGAGATAAAGGAGGTGGGCAGTGGGAACACTAGTCTAATTTTTTACATTAATTTTTATTGAAACATCATATACATACAGGAATGAGCACAAATTATAAGTGTACATCTGAATGAATTTTCACAAAGAGAACGTGCCCATTTAACCAGCATCCACATCAGGAAGGAGAATATTTCCGCCCCCACCCCCACTGTGCCCCTTATATCACTTCTATCCCGCTCCCCCAAAAGGAACCTTTACCTTGACTTCTAGAAGCATGGATTACTTTTGCCTGTTATTGAACTTTATGTAAATGAAGAGCTGGGACAATATAAAGCAAGTGAGACACTAGCCTCAAGTATAAAATTTAAGGGGTTGCCAAACAAACAAAAAAATCAAGATAAATAATATATATATATTTTAAGATTTTTATTGGGGAATTGGGGGGATGGGAACAGTGCTGGGGAATTGGGGGAAGGGGAACAGACAAGTTGCTGTCATTT